TCATTCCATATTTGCGTAGGATGCCGAATGTTTCGTCAAGATCGACTACATGATTCTGCTTTACCTTTGATTTGACCACCATATCGTCAATGTACACTTCCATTGTGCAACTGAGTTGCTTCTTGAACATGGTGGTGACTAGTCTCTGGTAGGTTGCCCCGGCGTTCTTCAGCCCAAAAGGCATAACCTTATAGCAGTAGGTTCCTCTTGGGGTGAGGAATGCAGTTTTCTCCTGGTCCTCTGGGTGCATGGCAATTCGATGGTAGGCTCTGTAAGCATCGAGGAAACTCATGCGCTGATGGCGTGCTGTAGCATCTACCAGTTGGTCTATCCTTGGGAGAGGAAAACAGTCTTTGGGGCAGGCTTTGTTTAGGTCCATGAAATCAACGCAAACTCGCCATGTACCGTTCTTCTTCTTCACAACTACAGTATTAGAGAGCCATGTGCGGTAGGTAACTTCCCTGATGGCCCTTGCATCAAGCAACCGGTCAACCTCTTCAATCACGGCGGTAGTATGCTCTGCAGCAAATTGCCGGCTTTTCTGAACGATCGGTTTGCATTTAGGGTCAACATTCAAACGATGCTCGGAAACAGTTGGGTCGACACCCGGCATTTCATATGGAGTCCATGCAAATACATCAAGATTATCGAGCATGAAGGATGCTAGCTGCTGTCTGTCGGCCTGATTCAAGGAGGCGCCGACCATGAAGAATCTCTCTAGATTGTTGTCAATCTCAATTCGATCTAAGTCTTCCGTGGCTTTCTCATTCGGGAGCCGCCCAATATCGTCGAGGCTTTCACGATCCGGCACCTCGATGGGATTAACTTGCAAAACCTTTGGCGTCTTTCCGGAGAGGAGATAGCATGCTTGTGCCGATTGTTGGGAAATGCCGTATTCTGTCGGGAAGCGCAAAAGTTGATGATAGGTGCTTGGGACAGCCTGCATAGTATGCAACCAAGTTCGCCCCATGATGAGATTGTACGGCGATGGCAGCCTGACGACCAAGAACTCCACATCTACTATTCGGGAGCCTGCTTGGACGGGTAGTATGATTTTTTCCAATAGGTATTCTGGGTTTGCATTGGAGCTGAATAATGGATAAGGAGCCAAAGACAAGTCTGATTCATTAAAGCCAAGTTTGATGAAGGTCTTGTAATACATAACCTCAGAAGTACTTCCCTGGTCTATGAGAACGCGCTCGATAGTAAATCAGTTGACACATAGTTCGATGACCAGTGGATCAATGTGGGGGACTGTTATGTCGATAAGATCAGAATTGTCGAAGGTAATACTCGGGGCTTCATGCGGCCGTTTCGCCGGCGTGAGTTGCTTCTGGGGTGCCGGGTGCGTTTGAATTGTATGCACAGTTGAGGGTATTGGCAGGCTGTATATCATATGGATGACTGCAAGCGGAGGTGATTCCCGCCGAAGTACAGTTGGTTTGGATGCGCACGTTTGGGCATGTTGCTGGGGCTGAACATCTCGGACCAACTCCTGAAGGTCTTTCATGGGGTGGTTACTGTCTGGATCGGGATCTTCACGATATTCACACAGCCTATCCCTTCTTGTCGTGTCGGGAGGTGCCACCGCTTCTGATAGCCTGGTGTAGAACGAGGGGGCCCATATTGTATGCGGGCTTTCTGCGGAGGAACTGGAAACTTCAGATCATTCATTCTTTTTGGAATCCAGGGATAATAAGTCGGAGCTGCTATCGGTGTCTTGAAGCCGGGTTCGAGGTTGTCGATCACCTGCTTTCAGAGGTCGCTCGGAATTTTGGGGCACGACTAGTTTGGATTTTGCTACCTCCAAAGCCAAATCCTGACGGGGGCGTTCGTTCTCATCGATCAAGTTTCCCAACCTCTGCTCATTTTTCTTTGCTTGCTCAATGATCGCTTGCATTGCCTCATGTTCGGGAGTCGAAGGTGAGGCAAAGTTCAAGACGCGTCTTGCTGGGATGAGCTCCAGTCCGTGCGTCGTTTCATCAGTGACTATTAGAGGGTCCTCCGTCACGTCCGCCATGGATATGCTTGAGTATTCCCATAGACGGCGCCGGGGATGTGGTTTTAGGAAATACTCTTCTGATCCTAAGGGACGCTCGTGATCCACCGATAGTCACCTGAAATGAATTAAACACTCCGATCGGGAGTGCCGAAATTAGCACTCTGACGGACAAGTTAGTCTCTCGTTCTAGATTACTTGTATTCTAAGTTAAACTCCACAATTATCACATACCTCTTTTTGGCTGATGTCTCTTCTATTTATATCTTTTCTTCTTTGGGCCTCGGGATTAGTTCCAAATCCAACCTACTATTCGGCGTATTCTGTAAATAACCGCTTCTTCACTCGGCCCCTTGCTTAGTCGGCTATCTAGCCGAATAAGGTTGGGTCCGAGTTTCCGTGGCAATGGCCGAATACTTCGAATCTCAATTCTTCAATGTTCGTCTACCTAAAATCTCTAAGACTCCCAATATTCGGCCCCCACAATTAGTAAAATTTATGTTAACTCTCAATTAGCAGTAATTGAGCAACAAATTCAACCAAAATTAAACAAAAGAAAACAAATGACTGTGATTTTGACTCAATATCTTAAAAGTATAAAGACTTCTTTGAACTTCAATTAAACAATTAAATAAATTTTTTTTAAATAATAATACTGATTTTCTGAAAACATGTTTTAAAAATGTAGATTTAAAAAAAATGGTTTTGGGGCTAAAATAGCCACAAAAGACAAAATAGGCTATTTTAGCCACAACAAACAAAACATCACATCCAACCCATAATCATTACACTATTCTCTCACAAAAAAAGTCAAAAAAACTAAAAAATCAAAAAGTCCTTCCCAAACCAAGCTTTTTAGCACAAGCTAAAATAGTCAAAAAAAGTCAAAAAGCCAACCCACTTCCCAAACGGAGGCTTAGTAAGATTTTTAAAAGGAATAGTTTATTTCTGTCTTTGGTGATTTTTAAAAAAATAATTACACAATTTTAATTTTTAATTTTTTACTTTTCAAATCTTCTAGTTAAATTTTTTTGAAAAAGGTTTAGAAAAGACAAATATAATTTAGTTTTTGTTAGATTTTTATTTATTTATATAGAATTTGATTTATTTTCGCTTTTAATGAAAAAATCCTTGATTTTTCTAATTTTTAAATTTTCATAATTGAAAACAGGTCTAAAAAAATAATAAAATAAAATAAAATTTAACACAAGAGAAAGAGGATATTTTGATATTATTACAAAAGAATTAAATTCCATTAATATCACTACACTAGCATATACAAAATCAACATAATTTATCTTACATCTTCAATCTAATATCACTATTATAATAATTCCCTCATTCAATCCTACTATATTTATAATCTCATCTAATTTAATCTAATGAATAAATATATATTAAGAGAGTTAAATATTAATTTATACTTTTCAACTCAAAAAATTGTTCTACCAATCATCCTATAGTCTCCAAAGCTAAACATGGTTTGTCCAAAGAAATGACATATATAATTTTTTTTCTTCTCAAAATTGTTAAAACATCTTTATTAAATTAATTATTTTTAATTTATTTTTAGCTAAAATAGTTAATAAATCACTAAATTTCACATCTATCAAACTAATATTATAAAATTAGCCACGCTAGTTTTTGATGATTTTGACTCAACAAATATAGTTAGTGATTTAGCCTAATCAAATATTTAAAAAGTATTACTTTTAATATTTTGAAATTAATTGTGTTGAGTTTATAAAAAATAATATTTAAATAGTATAAAGAAATAATAGAGAGTTTCTTGGAGAATATATTTAAAAAAATGTAAAACTAAAATAAAAAAGTAACTATTAATTTAAAATATAATAAAATTTTAACGAATTTGATGTTGATACTCTTGTGTAACACTTGTTTATTTGTTTTTAATTTTTTGGAGAACTTACGTATAGATCTTAATAGGTGGACTTATTGTTCAATATGTTTTGTGAGAAGTGGCGTTTTTCATTAAATAGTATTTAAAAACGCCACTAATTATTAATTTTCAGCAACAGTTTAAAATTTTTGTCACAAAAATGTTATTAATTATAAGTTTTAGCGTTAGTTTAAAAATCACAAAAAATTATTAATTTTTAACTTTCAGTAACAATTTGAAAAATTCATCATAGAAAAACGTCCCTAATTGTAAGTTTTAGCAATAATTTATAAAAAGTGTGACAAAAAAAATTATTAATTGTCAATTTTTAACGACATATGCAAAAAATGGTCATAAAAAATTATTTTTAGCGACGATTTACTAGAACTTATTTTCAATAAGACTGGATGAGAATTAAGTTTAACTATTATGACCTATTAATAATTTACTTTAATTTTTTTAATAACAAACTATGTTAAAAAGTATTATTTATTTTTAATATATCTTTCAAAAAATATGTAATATATACACCTTATAATTAAAAAAAATAATAATATAATTTCATACTTTTTTTGAGTTATAATTAAAAAAATTCACCAATCATAATTAAATAAGAAAATACCATAATCATGTGTACCCTTCCAGGGTGTATCTTATTATTATCAATTTTTTTTTTTCGGCAGTGATTCGTAACTTGAATCTTGTGGCTCGAGAGTGGCTCGATTTTTGTTTTCAGCAAGAGAAAGAGGAGGGAGGAGGGAGGAGGGAGGAGGAAGAAGGGGAAGGGGAAGTGGAGGGAAGGGGGCCATAAAAATCGGGCTGGAGGAGGAGGCGGGGCCGGAGGTGGGGCTGCGCGGGGCTGCGACGAGCTGCGGCGGGGCTGCGACGATCGGAGCTTCTGCGACGGGCGAAGGCGGCGGAGGCGACGAGCTCCTCGCGACGAGGACGGCAGGCAAAGGCGGCGGAGGCTCTCTCTCTCCTCTTCCCCTCTGTTCTTCTTCTGGTTTCAACGAAGAAGAAGAAAAGAAAAAAAGACAAAGAAAAAAAAAATCAAATTACAAAACGACATCATTTTACAATTCGAGCCGATTACGAGCCACGATTTTCGAGCTACCGACCTCTATCCCTTTTTTGGGGGGTGGGTGGTGAAGTTTATGAATTGTTTTTTGGTCGCAATCAATTTTTGGACAATATTGTTTATGTTAAGAAGAGCATCTTCAAATTATCTCTCCAAATCCAAACTCATCATGGATTCAAACAACTGTTTTGGGGGATCCCAAAGGCTCACAACCTTAGCTCGGCATCTTCGATTGTACAAACCCCCTCCAACTTTCGATGAATCCGATATTGAAGAGCAAAGAATCGAAGAAAGTGCAGGAAAGTTGGTTTCTCAGGTGGGTTTTGTGGAATCTGCAACCCCAATTGCAAGCCAACCCGAAAGATTCAAACCCAAGAGAGCCGCTGTTTTGATCTGTCTCTTTGAAGGGGACGATGGTGATCTTCGTGTCATTCTCACTAAGCGATCTTCTAGACTCTCCACTCACTCAGGTTACTCAAACTGTGTTGAAATCACATCTATGTATATGTGTATGTGTATATTTGTATCTGTGTTTGGACTGTCAAGTGGGTGTCTTTGGTTGATGATGATCATTTTGGTGAGCATTTGTTGGGATATTGTGCAATTAACCAAGTGGGTTTTGTTTGATTTAGCAAATGGGTGTGTTTGTTGTTGATGATTATGGTATATACAACATAATTTATCTAGAGATGACTAGGATTTGGAAGAAATGTTGGTTTGTGCAGTTTACCAATTGGGTTTCTATTTTTTGTGTTTTTATATTTTACTAAGGTGGTGATTTTGCTCTGATGATGGTGGTTGTGTGTAAAGTGTGGGTTTTTGTTCATTTCAGTATGTGGGGTCTCTAGATGCTTATAATTGTTTTAGGTAGTGTTTGGTTCATTGGAATGAAATTATCATTCATTAGAATGGTCATTCTTATGGTGGTTCACTAAAAAAACAATGAAAAATATAATACAAATAAAATCATCATTCACCATTAGAAATAAATGGCCATTCCGTAGGGAGGCTAAGCAATGAGCATTCACCTTTCATTCTAGTGAACCAAACATAGCATTAGGGTATTGTGTTTTGTTGATTTCATCTATTTGTTGTCTTTGGTTGCAGGTGAAGTTGCATTACCAGGTGGGAAAGCAGAGGAGGGAGATAAAGACGATGCAGAGACAGCAACTAGGGAAGCAAAGGAGGAGATAGGGTTGGACCCTTCTCTCGTGAGTGTTGTGAATGTCCTTGAACCATTTTTGTCCAAGGTAAGTGATGCCATTCTCTTTTGTTTTTGTATAAATTTTCATATTTGGATCTCAATGATCTGTCTTTATCCAAATGCTATTCCAGTTCAGTGAACTTGAAATTGGGTCTGTATCATTAGTTTAAATTTTTTATTTTGCTACAGCCGGAGATATTTGTGTCATGGCTGTTTCATTTTTGCTCTTTAGTTGCTCCTTGGAAAGGTCATGGGCTTTTTGTTGTTGTGTGTTAATTCAATAAGGTTGCTTCTGTATTTTACTTCCACAGAATGAAAGAATGTGTGTAAATTAATTGATGAACTTGTTGGAGCTGTTTGAAATTCTAGTAGCCCAGTGTTGCTAAAATTAACATTGATTAGAAGGAAGCAGAAGAGTTGGTAGAAGAGATGGGAGTATGCAAAATTTGATGCCAAATTAAAGGACTTTTATAAAAGAGCTATAGTTTTTGCAGTAGAATTGGCAAGTGCTTCCCTTTCAAATGCTTGTTTCCAAAATTCTGTTTTGGAGACGAAGGACCTTTGTCGCACGAATTGGGTTGGGGGCTAGAGAGCGAGGGCTCATAGAAAAATCGAAGGTTGAGAACACCTATGGAAGCATTTATGTATATCTCACAATATATATATATATATATATATTTGCTTAGTTGTTCAAAGATGAGCAAAAGGCAAGAGATTTGGGTAATATATGCTATTTTAATTTGGTCTTCATGCTTTTGCTGTTATTTGATTAAGATGTAGATTGATACATATGTCACTTTTTACCATGCATGTTTTATATTTGTTCTCCACATATTTTCATATGCCTTGATGGTTTTTTCATTTGTTCATTTAGGATTCGTAAATTTGAGCTGTCTTGACTCTCATCCCAATTGGAGTCATGATTGTATCTCAAAGGGAACACTGGTTCTAACTCAATTCTGATGCTAAACCACAGAATTGCGGTTCTAGAGCAAAAACACCTCCCTAGTAGGTGGTTCTTGCAACTAAGAGATGAGGAAGTTTGTACCGTAAGGGCGTGGTAGGCCAAAATCTAAGGAATTGTTATTAATTTAAAAAAGAAATTCCAAGTTCAATGATTTAAGAAAGTGTTCAGATTAAATTGCTCCATATATCAATAACTCTTAATGGCAACCACATATATATCAAGTAATAATAATGGCAAGTTGGCAACCACACATAAATTTTAGTAAAAAACATAACGATTTAAATGGAATACCTTGAAGACAACAATCCTCCAAGAAAAACCATAGAACATTCAACTAACCAAATTCACCATCCACCAAGAGTTTACATGACTCAAGAATAAAGTGCTTTCAACTGAACCCTATTTTTTCTAATCTTTATTTATTTATTTATTTTATTTTTTGGCTAAGCTCCTGACTTGCTCTCTACTTCTTGTCGCTAAAAGACTTTTGATCTAACAGTCCCATGAACTCCTCTCTCTACTCGCTGCTTATTTATCCAAACAACCAAAAGTTAAGTGCATCAATTAAATGTGTGGGGTTTTATTTAAAAAAAAAAAAATCTCAATCTACAGCTCTCAAACATGTTAGGGTAATAATGAAAAATAAATAAATAAATTCAAATATTAAAGAACACAGTTTCAAAGACTTTTGAAGACTTGTGAATAAACAAGGTTTTTCTTTCACTTGAAAGCTGCTAAAATTCATGGGATTCCTAAACAGAAAATGTAGTCCAACTATATAGGTTAGACAAAAGTACAAAACAATTTGGACTTCTTTTCGTACATGAACTTTGGGCGCAGGTTGTAGGATCTCCGATTTTGTAATCAGGCTAAAGTGTGCTGCTCATTCTAACTTTGTTATTTTGCCTATTTTGAATATTTTTTCAACATGTAAAAATCAAGACTCATCAAGGGCAAATTGTGCAATTTGAAAACCTAGTGCCCTACAGCTAATGCAACATGCTCTTACTTATTTTTTAGCATTATTTTCTTACACTAGGGAAATAGAAAGTCCTTTTCTTGTTGACTTAAAAAAAGAGCACGTCGCTCATTCCCAAGTTATACACGGTTACTTGGTAGAAGTCAGTAGCACACTTATGTGCACTCTTACACTTGGACCACACTTGGTCCCGGCATGCTCAGCACACAAGCCAAGTGTTCACACATCTTCACTAAAGAATGGAAATAAAAATCTTTATTCAAAAATAAACTTGTTGCAAAGAAGTGCCAACTAAGGATCCTGTCACAATTTGAAGAAAGCCATGCCCATGAGATATTGACTCATATTTATGCACTAGCCACCCGAATATTGTATCATGGAACTTGATTTAATGCCAATTTTCTGGAAGTATAAGCATGGTTTTGGTATGCAGAGAACTTACTGCAAGATCAATATGATTTTGGTAACTTTCTTTGTATGAAAATGAAAAGCACAGCTAGGATTCTTAATCATCTGAGTATTGCGGTCCATACTTCCTTTTGCTTAGTCATGATTAATGTGAATTTCTATGTTAGGAACACATTAAGAACTAGTCTAAATTTGGGACTTGGGACTGCTATCTTTGAGCCTAATTGAGACTTGCATTAACTGCTGAGTTGTTTAGGTTCAGATGATTCTATTCCAGATTGAACTGTTGGTTGGATTAGTTTAGAATTGGTTTAGTCGTAGTTCATAGATTTATTTGATTAATATAACAGTAGTTGGCTCTATATCTAGAGATAGTCGCTGTGCCTTATGTTTTGAAGTTGCATAAGGATATTGCAGGTTGTAATTCTCTGTCACGGAGAAAAATGGTAGATAGTAGACTGGGTTAGCTGTTTGCCATAAAGGATTCATATTGAAAGTGGTGGCAAATTAGAAACTATCCAAATAAAAGAGTGCTTTTCTTGGTATTTTAAAATGGTTCTGATGAATCTACTCTATTCTGTGTGCAGTTTTTTCTTTTCTGGTTATGATTTGGCACTTTGTAGAAGTGGCGTTGAGGCTGCATGAGTTTATTTGGATTCATATGACTTCTTTTACATGACAAGCTCAAGATGTTATGTTACATAAACTGTCTGGTTTCGATAGCTCAAAAATTAGATCCCATTTTTTGTACAGCTATTATGGATTCTAAAATGAAGTGCTTTTTGTTTCTAGCATCTGTTATGATGTTTACATTCTCTTCGCCTTATTACTAAAATCCCATATTTTAATATAACCTTATGACTATGTAAGTTGGATCGTAAAGTTGTATTTAAGGTTTTAACCCTTCTTTTTGGCCTTTGGCAACCCTACTCGGCCTACTAATCTTGAGTTTGTGGGTTCAAACCTAAGGGCAACCACTTCGTACAAATTATGTCAAATGTTAGGTCTATTTCTAGAACTAAACTGGGCATACCTTTTAGTAACATCTTCATTATTTATGCAGCATCTCCTCCGAGTAATTCCTGTTATCTGCATACTCTCCGACAAAAAAGCATTCAATCCTGCTCCAAATGTTGCTGAAGTGGAAGCAGTATTTGATGCTCCCTTGGAAATGTTTATAAAGGTTCTGCTTTTTGACTTCTGCTGTTTTATTTGCCTTTATTTACCAACTCGCAACTCGATTTTAATAAAGACATCCATTTTGTAATGTTTTGATTCAGGATGAAAATCGGATGGCAGAGGAGAGAGAGTGGATGGGTGAGAAGTATCTGATTCATTCCTTCGACTATGAAACAGATAATAATCAGAAGTATATGATATGGGGTTTAACTGCTGGGATTTTGATTAGGGCGGCATCAGTTGTGTACCAAAGACCACCGGCTTTTCGTGAGCAGAATCCCAAATTCAAGATTCCTAGGATTGCAGACAAACATACTGTAATGCCTTAAATTCAATACAAATTTGATCAGGCTGTATTTTTTCTGTGTGCAATAAAACTACTAGCAACATTGTTCAAGATAAATGAATATATACTTAAAACTGAGACAAAAAAAAAGTCTTCCTGCTGTAAACCATTTAGATCAAGATGTTAAGAAATTGCTGCTAAAAAATTTCAGAAGCGACGAAGCAACTAGGAAATTTACTGTCGAAAAGGATAAACTAATGGAGAGTGTTTTGTGAGAGTGTGGCTGATCTTCCTTCAGGGGAGTCATCCTAAACTACAAATCAAGTTTCACTCAGATTGGGCTACTTATTTTTTATGTGGTAGATTCTGTGTCCATAGACTTACTGCATTGTAAATGAGTTTAGAAAATTGTTTGTGTACGGTTTTAATTGTTTTGTTATTCATGCAGGGCCTATTGCAAGTTCAGGAAGCTTGTTTGGTTGTGCATACACCTTTACATTACACATTATCCGTTCTATTCATTTATACTGTGCCAATGCTTATGAACATGAAGGGCAAAGATGGTAAGTCACAACATCCCAACCCCCCCATAACACTTAAATAATTGAGAAACCCTTGGTTGCATTTATCTGAGCTCAACTTGTGTATCAAAAAATCTCTACAAACAACACAATAACATTAATGTTGTGTTTGGTTGGAGGATTTGGGGAGGAATTTGAAAATGGAAAGGGAAAATGTGTGTGAAACTATGTGAAATGTAGATATATTTTATTCACATTTTACTTAACTTTTCCCTTTTTCTTTCCAAATTCCTCTTCAAATCCCCCAACTAAACACGGCGTAAGGAAAACTCATCAAGGATATTCTCTAATGTTTTGAATTAGAGTGTGGACAATGGCGCAATGGTGAGATTGTTCCATTGCCACTTGGGTGTCACAAGGATATGTAAGGCAAGAAGTAACTCACAAATGATCTAACTACTTTAGAGTAATCCCAGTTAGTTGTAATTCATCAAGGCAATTCAACCTCAACATACAACGGGTCTATTTAGTTAAAATTTAATAATAATATAAAAAGAAGTCAAAAGCACCGTTTCGCTTCTTTAGTTTTTAGATAATCAATTTTTTTTTTATTTATTTATAATTTATTTATTTATTTTTAATTTGTTTAAGTTATTTTTATCTAATAAGGTGTAAGCAAAAGATGTACTAAATAGTTTAGCATGGACTCAAAAAATAAAATAAAATAAAGTAAAATAAAAATTATAAACAACTCAGATAAATTACGCGAAACAGTTTCAATGTTAAACACTTGAGAGGCTCAAACATTGATGCTAATGCTAGTGTCATGAAAAGGTTGGATTTGTAGGATTGCAATAAGGGGTAAAAGTTAAATTAAGTGATCTTTGACCAGAGGGAGGGTCTTCTAAACTGATTTTTTTTGGAATGATCTTAAAGGATTGGCCTATTGGGTTCCTCAAGCTTATGTGGTCTTGAGTTGTCACCTCACCTCTCAACCAATGATCATTTGTATAATTTGTTTGTTTTGTTTTGTTTTGTTTTGTTTTGTTTTATTTATTTTATTTTATTATCGCGTATTTATGTCTATATATATATATATAACTGGTCTCAATTTATTTTTAAACATTTAAAAAAAAATTCAAATATATTTACACATCATTTTAGTTTTGAAATCATATTTTTAAAACTAAACTACATTGAATTGGTGTTGTTAAAACACCAATTCAATTAATTTACGAAAAAGTCACTTTACCTCCTCAAACCATGATACTTGTGTTATTTTGGCTCTGAAATTATCAATTTAAACAATTACTCTCTTAAATTATTGACATTAGTTTACTTTATCTCAAATCATTAACAAGGTTAATATTTATTTATCAAAAAATAAAAAATAACAAGGTTAATATTTTTGATAGAATGTTACACTTGCCAGCACATGTGATTAATTGAAGGTATTGATTCACTTTGCTCCATAATAAGGAGACAAATATCCAGATGCAATACAACAAAACACAGTTAATTATTAAAAAATTTTTTTAATAAAACATAAAATACAACCAATAGTAACAAATTAGTATCTTTGTATACAAGTAATGTAAGTAAATCATGTGCACATTTGTGTACCACAAGCATGATATTCTGTAAAAAAGTATTTATATATATATATATACATATATATTAACTCCGGTAATGATACTAGATAAAGTTAATTAATGTCAATAATTTGAGGGTGTAATTGTTTAAATTAATTGTTCAAAGAGTATAGTGTGACAAATGTAATAGTTTGAGGTTCCAAAGTCAAATTTTTCTAACGAGCATTGGTTAAAAAACAAATAGTGTTAAAAAAGTGACATTCAAATATACATATTTCAGTACACTCGTATATATATATTTATATATTTTTTTCACCTAGGGTTGTGGTATCCTCTGGCTGATGATCCAATCAGAGTGGTTCTATTGGAGCTATGAATCCACTTTGGGTCTATTTTAAATAATTTGAGTTGTTTATTTTGTAAAATCTATTGAAAAAAAAAAAACATTAATGTAAAAAAATGGAATTTTTATTGATAAGTCCAATTTAGAAGTGTTTTAACCCAAGAAATCTATGAATGAATTTTTTAACCCATTTAGTCCTATATATGTATAGTTTTATTCCATAAAGTCCATTTTCTTGATTTATACTATTTTTTTGGACACTTATGCCCTTATATTCAATTTTGATACCCTTATAAGTATTTTTTGAACGATTAGCAATTTAATGATGTGAGCATTCATATTTTAAAATTCACATTGGTAGGAATGTAAAATTGGCCCGTGGGCGCCCCGAAACCTGCCTGGGAGCCGGGGCAGGCCCGGCCCGTTGACAATGTGAATATTCACATTGACATGTTAACATTCACATTGATAGGAGTGTAAAATTAGCCAGCGCCTCGTGGCTGCCCGAAACCCGCCCACGGCCCGTGGCGAATCGGGGCAGGCTCGGCCCGGCCGGTTGACAATGTGAATATTCACATTGATATGTTAACATTCACATTGATAAGAGTATAAAATTGGTTTGCAGCCCAGGGCGGGCCCGACCCGGCCCGGCCCGTTGACAATGTGAATATTCATATTGACATGTTAACATTCACATTAATAGGAGTGTAAAATTGGCCCCCGTCCCGTGGCAGCGCGAAACCCGCCCGCGGCCCATGGGCGACCCAGGGCGGGCCCGGTCCGGCCCGTTGACAATGTGAATATTCACATTGACATGTTAACATTCACATTGATAAGAGTATAAAATTGGCCTGCGGCCCATGGGCGACCAAAAGCCCGGCCCGGCCCGGCCCGTTAACAATGTGAATATTCACATTGACAGGTTAATATTCATATTGATAAGAGTGTAAAATTGGCCCGCAGCGCGTGGGCGGCCCGAAGCCTGACCGAAGCCCGAGGCGGGCTTGGCCCGATCCGTGACAATGTGAATATTCACATTGACATGCTAACATTCACATTAATAGGAGTGTAAAATTAGTCCGCGCCCCGTGCTTACCCGAAACCCACCCATGACCCGTGGGTGGCCCGGGGCGGGCCCGGCCCAACCTGTTGACAATGTAAATATTCACATTGACATGTTAACATTCATATTGATAAGAGTGTAAAATTGGCCCGTGACCCGTAGGCATCCCGAAGCCCGACCTCGGGCCGGGGCGAGCCTGACCCGTTGGCAATGTGAATATTCACATTGACATGCTAACATTCACATTGATAGGAGTGTAAAATTGGCCCGCAGCCCGTGGGCGACCCGAAGCCAGACCGCAGCCCGATGCGGGCTTGGCCCGACCCGTGACAATGTGAATATTCACATTGACATATTAACATTAACATTGATAGGAGTGTAAAATTTGTCTGCTGCCCGAAGCTCGCTTGCGGCCCGCGGTAGGCCTGGACCCAAACCCGGGCCACCTCGGGCCGCCCATGGGACGCGAGTCAATTTTACACTCTTATCAATGTGAATGTTAACATATCAATGTGAATATTCACATTGTCAACAAGCCGGGCCGGGCCCGCCTCGGGCCGTCCACGGGCCGTGGGCGGTTTCGGCCAACCACGGGGCACGGGTTAATGTTACACTCTTATCAATGTGAATGTTAACATGTCAATGTGAATATTCACGTTGTCAACGTGCCGGGCCGGCCCCGGCCCGGGGCCGGGCTTCGGGCTACCCATGGGTCACGAGCCAATTTTACACTGTTATCAATGTTAATGTTAATATGTCAATGTGAATATTCACATTGTCAACGGGCCGGGCCCGCCTTGTGCAACGGGCGGGCTTCGGGCTGCCCACGGGCCATGGGCCACGGGCCAATTTTACACTCCTATCAATGTGAATGTTAATATGTCAATGTGAATATTCACATTGTCAACGAGCCGGGCCGGGCTCGCCCCGGGCCGCCCACGGGCTTCAGGCCACCCATGGAACGCGAGTCAATTTTACACTCTTATCAATGTGAATGTTAACATGTCAATGTGAATATTCACATTGTCAACAGGCCGGGCCGGGCCCGCCCTGGGCCTCCCACTGGCCGTGGGCTGGTTTCGGGCAGCCATGGGGCGCGGGTTAATTTTATACTCTTATCAATGTGAATGTTAACATGTCAATGTGAATATTCACATTATCAACGGGTCGGGCCGGGCTCGCCCAAGGCAGCCCACGAGCTGCGGGCGGGTTTCGGGCCGGCCACAGGCCGCGGGCTAATTTTACACTCCTATCAATGTGAATGTTGACATGTCAATGTGAATATTCACATTGTCAACGGCAGGCCTACAAACTCGGGCTAGCCAATCCAGTACCCTCAAGCCATATTTGTTTGAGCAAATTGAAATAAATGAGATTAGCATCTTAACGATAGTTAATCTTGGAATTAATAATTCCTTTAAATAATGGCCCTGTTTGATGGAGTTTTTTTTTTTAAGTTAAAATTTGATAATCAGAAAGCAGAAACTAAAAGCATCCCTATCCTAGTTTTTAAATAATCATTGTCAATGTGAATATTCACATTATCAACGAGCCGGGCTGGGCCTATTTTTTTGGCATGTGGGCCAGCCCAGCCCGTCTCGAATTTTTCTGGGCACCCACGAGGATTGACATGGGCCGGGCCCCTACACATTGACGATATGAACATTCACATTGACGGTGTGAACATTCACATGAGGGGTATTTTGGTAATTATGTCACCCATAGGACTTATTGAAATATAAGAAAATAATGTGAACTAAATAGAACATAAGTAGATGAAAATGGTATTTTGGTTTTTATCTCAAATTGGACCTAATAGAATAGTCAAAAAAAAATATGGGTTGGATGGAATAAAACTCTTAGAAAATGGATTTATCAAAAAAGCTCCCTAAAAAAATTAAGTTTGTCAAATATTAATAATCAGATGAGACTTACATTAATTACCTTCTTAACAAATCCCTACAAAATTAAAATTTGAGATGAATTCCAAAGTAAAGCTACAAGCCCCAACAGCATTGGGTCTTGTTTGGCATATATTAAAAAAATTAAAAAGTCACTGTCCTATTTAAGTCACATTATCTTATTTAAGTCATATCACCTTTCTATCACATCACTTCAACCCAATCTATACTTAATCCATATTGCATAAAAAGTCAAAAAATACATACCATCTCAAAACACAACTCTATGAAAGAAGCAAGATTGGTAATAACTTGGCTGGGTTGACTAAAAAGCTTACATTTGACCCAGACATCATCAACCAATCAAACTCAACTACAACTCTCTCTCTCTCTCTCTCTCCTCTAATAGAGCTCATGGATTCCAACAGCATTGGATCAGCAGGGAGACTAATGAACATAGCTCAACAGCTTCGACTCTTCCACACCAATTACAACCCCATTGAAGACCCAACAATCAAAGACAGTGCAGGCAAGGCTGTTCCTCAAGATCTGACTACAAATTCAGAATCTGCAACAAACCCACCTGAAAGAATCAGATCCAAGAGAGCTGCAGTTCTGATCTGCCTCTTTGAAGATGAAAGAGGAGATCTCAGAGTCATTCTTACCAAGAGGTCTTCAACACTGTCCACTAATTCAGGTCAGTTTGCCTAAAATTCAATTCAATGCTCTTAGTAATTTGGTGTGTGCAAATAAACTGGCAATATGATCCAATTCCAAATTAGCGGTTTGAGAAGGCGAGCGGGTTAGATAATACAAATTAGTAAGTAGGTAGGAGCGGCGCAAGGATTTCAACATTGGCGGCAAAAAAATGAACCGGGCTCTCGTTAGTTGGGTTTAAAACGTTTAAAAATAATAATAATTTAATATCAACCAATTAAAAATTATTAAAAAATCAATAATAATTCAGTTTAAACATATTATTATCTACTTCTTAATTCTTATAAGGCTGGGGTTGCTTCCAGTCTACCATCTAGGCTAGAGGGTCCAATCCGGTCTATTGGGTTGATCTTTAGGTTCTTTTCGATAATTGTTCACATTTTAAGATTTATTAAATACATTATTCTTGTAAAAAATTACGTCAATCGGATAACGGATACTATGTATTTGGATTACTTTTTTTATGAATCGTTAATTTTTTGACTATCCATTTTCTTTCAGACAATAGTGATCTTATTAAATAGTATCCGTTATCCAATTGACGTGATTTTTTACAGAAATAATGTACTCAACAAATCTTAAAATGTGAACGGTTTTGATTATCGAAAAGGAGCCCAAAAATAAGCCTAATGGTCCGAACTGAACAGAACTGTCCTAGATCTAGATTGGAGACCGTCCGACTTATAAACCCATGTAATTATTCATGAATGTAAGCTTAATGCATATAGGCATTAAACATTAAATATGTAAAGAGACTGGACATAAATAAATAAAAAAAAGTATATGTACAAATTAGAGATACAAAATCTGAGAAAACATGTAATTTAAAAATAAAAAAATAATTTAATTAATTTTTCTGAATGGACTGTCACATCTGTCAAACTAAACAATCACCAAAACAAAATCTATCTATATTATATATTAAGTAAAATGGAGTTTTTAACCCCAAACTTTATGGGAGTTTCAATCTCTCAAACTAAATTTTTTGATTTTTTGATTTAAAAAAAAAAATCTTAGCATTTATTAACTTCTCTCAATTCTCAAGTCTTACTATCATAATAACACTTTAATGCATTAAGAACAAACATAAAAAAAATTCTTTGAAAAGTCCCAACACATATGATTATTATCCCTCATAATAACATTTTAATGTATTAAGAACAAGCATAATTTTTTTTTTTTCAAAAGTCCAACACATATGATTATCTTAACATTTATTAACTTCTCCTAACTCTCAAGTTTTACCATCATAATAACACTTTAATGCAATAAGAACAAGCATAAATTTTTTTTTTTTAAAATCCAACACACATAAATTTCTTGAAAAGTTCAAACACATATGATTATTATCCCTCATAATAACATTTTAATGCATTAAGAACAAGTATAAAAAAATTTCTTAAAAAGTCCAACACATATGATTATTATCAAAATATTAAACTTTAATATAATATAATAAAAAATAAGTCATTTAATTCCTTGAAAAGTCCAACACATATGATTATTATTAAAATATTAAACTTTAATATAATATAAAAAAAGAAAAAAGACATTTAAAAAAAAAAATTAAAAATCACAATTCACATATATAAATAATTATAAATATAATTCGTATATAGGCGCTGTTTGGAAAGTGGCAAGTGAGGCTATTATAGCCTCAAATGAGATATAAGCCAAAAAGTTCACTTTTCATTCTTTTTTATTAAAAAAAAAAAAAATAGGTTCACTGCCATGACAGTGTAGGCTACACTGTCAAAGTGACAAGTTGTTATCACGTGGGAAATTACGGTTTTGCCCCTTCTCATCAATTTAAAAAAATATAATTTTATGGACAAATTTGTCATTTTAACTTCAAACATCATTTTAACACATTTTTCAATACAACAACTCAAATAAAATCCATCTCATCTTCCCAAACACAAAAACTAAAATAGCCTATTAAAATAGTCAAAAAACCAAATAACCTACTAAAATAGTCACTTCCGCACAGTACAGTTGATATGCTAGTAATATATTATTAGGAAAGGTCCAACTAATTTATTACACTAATCCATGTAATTCATATATATACAGTGTTTTTCAACTTTTTGCAGAGCTAAGCCCTCTGACCCGAAAAAGGTTATTTGGTGATCGTAGAGTAATATTTCAACACAAAAACTAAAATAACCTATTAAAATAGTCAAAAAATCAAATAACCTACTAAAATAGTCACTTCCCAAACAAGGCCACAGTACAGTTGATATGCTAGTAATATATTATTAGGAAAGGTCCAACTAATTTATTACACTAATCCATGTAATTCATATATATACAGTGTTTTTCAACTTTTTGCAGAGCTAAGCCCTCTGACCAGAAAAAGGTTATTTGGTGATCGTAGAGTAATATTTCACAGCATAAACCAATACTTTTTTACCAACACAAAAGTATTGGATCCATCTATATCTATATATATAAGGGAAATTACTTTACATTTGTCTCATGTGCTGAGGCATTTCTATTAGATTGTTACAGTAATTATATAAATTTCCTTTGGTAGTTGTGTGGGCAGTGTTTTAGGTCAAGTTTAGAAAGTCTCAAAAAAAAATCAAAAAGTTAAAAAGTTAAAAAATTATCATTATTTATTGAAAGTCAACAATTATGACTGCACAATTTTAATACTAATTTTTTCATACACATTAATTTATATAATTTTTTAATACATATTTTTCTATAAAAAGTCAAAAAGTTAACCTAAACATTCATATTTTCAACCTCAACTTTTTAGTCTAAAAATACAAAAAGTACACTTATTTAGGACACCCCAAACAACCTCTTACTATGTACTTTTTAGTTGAGTTTTTCTATTGGAATCTTGTTCTTGTTAGTGCTATAAAATTTTAATTTATGAAAAAAACGATGATAAACACATCATTTTCATTGATTTTTTTTTTAAAAGTTTAATTGTTTTGTTTATTGATTTGTGAGGTGTGATTTTGATTAACATCTTGCATTCAATTAGTCGTGGATTTTGTGTCAGAATTTAGAATAAATAATATTTTTTTTTATTTAAAATTCTATAAAAAGTTATGGTCGTACGTTTACTATTGCTTTTTTTTTTTCTTTTTCTTCTCATTTTATATATTTATAACATGCTCATATCGTTGATTAGAAATCGTTAAAATATTCACTCAACTTGTTCATTTCAAGAATGAGTGAGCAAGTTAAAAACAATTTCAATCCACAAGTGATGATTTTTCTTCAAAATTAACCCAAAACCACTTGTGCACACACCCTATGGGGTTTGTTTGGTTACAGGGGATGTGTCCTTGCCAGGTGGGAAGACAGATGAAGGGGATGCCAATGATGTTGAGACAGCACTGAGGGAGGCCAAGGAGGAGATTGGCTTGGACCCTTCACTTGTCATTGTTGTCACTGTTTTACATCCCCTGGTAACAAAGGTTATATTTCTCAGATGTGCAATTCAATTTATACATAGTTTTTTTTCCTTTCATTACTCCGTATTGTTAACCATCTATTCAAATTTTATTAAGTCCCCATATAAATTTTATTGTTCACAGTAAATGAGTAAGTAATTACTCACTCTATCCCTTGATAGGGTTATATACAGTGCTATGCTTATTGAAAAATCTAGAAATCCCCTAAATGTTGATTTGTGATTATGTATCAATTTTAAACAGAATATAACAATCCCAATCAAACAATCAAGACAAAGAAACACAACGATTTTACGTGGTGGAAAAAACCACAATTGGACACCTCCAACTGTGATAAAAAAACCACGGGCAACAGCCACAAAACAATCCACTAAGAAGATTTAAAGGAATTACACAGGTATACTCTCAATTACCTAGCGAATCCACGCCTAATTGAACCAACCTCTATGTGCCTCTTCCAACCCGTCTTCACCTTGGAATTGTCTTTACGATGAGCCACCCCGGAATCCACCAAAGCTTCAGGCTCGAATTCTTCAGAATCCACCGAAGAACAACTCTCTTTTTTGTAGAACAAAACACAACCTTTGATGTACTCTCTTTAAACCATGAGTTGAATACTCAATAAAACATCAAAGAAAACTCACAAAGTATCCCCAGACATAAACCCTAGAATCCAAAAAGAAGATCTGGAGTAGTAATCCTAAAATCTGACCCAACACGCGAATTTATAGAATCTGTCCCGCGATCTCCGCTCGAGCGCCCAACAGCCCGCTCGAGCGTCGTCAGCAAAATATGCGCGTCATATAACAGAGGTCCGCTCGAGCGCCAGAAAGCCCGCTCGAGCGCAAAATCATATATCTCAGTACTTTTGCAGGCGACCAAAACTGCTGGAACCAGGGATTCTCCGCTCGAGCGCGGGTATGTCCGCTCGAGCGGACAGGCAATTTTGAATGCATTTTTGCATTTTGCTTCGGGGCGCTGCCCCTCGACCCCGCCGTGACGCTGCCCTGGACCCGCCAAGGGGCGCTGCCCCCTCGACCCCCGCGAGCTGACCGGGTAGCTCGATCCTCGTCATAATCAGCGAAGTGGCAATCTTGAATGCTTTATCATCACAAACTTCTCTTAAAAGCACAATTCGGGTTGGATTCACATCTAAACATAGCCTCACTGAAATAAAAAGTGCGAATAAAATTACAACTCAAAGGAGTTTTGTCAAACGGGATTGCCAAGAAATAAAACCTAACACTTATGATCTGATAGATTATATATATATGAAGGATTCTGGTAGTGAAGTGTGATTGTAGTTTCTCATCATTTTATTTGAATGAATAGAAAAGAAAGAGAACGCAAGTGTCTTTTCATTTCCTTTTGCTGTATATTTAGATAAAGAATTTTTGGTTTTAAAGAATTTTAAGAGATTTCTCTTTCTCTTTTCCTTTTTTTTTTTTCTTTTTTTGGGGTCCCTCAATCGAAATGGTGCAACCGAATCTCCCTAGAGCCTTGTCATTGTCAAGTTTTAGAGGGTTTTTTTTTTTTTTCAGAAAACAAATTTGTTTGCTGAACTTTCTGAAAATAGTTTTTAGAATGAAATTTCAAGAACACACCACTTTTTAGGAAACCCCAAAAAGAAGTTTCCAAAACTTGGAAAGATGTTTTTCACACAAAAAGCAAAAATGTTATGAAAACAATGGATGTTTTTTTCAAAGATTTCACTATTTTGTTTCCGAAAACATGAAAACAAAAATAGAAAACAAAAATGAAGAAAACGAAAACACAACCAAACAATTGTGGCACATTTAGCTTTGATATGGAATTTAGGACTTCAATTTTTTGTAGTTCTTCTTGTGCAGGTTGGTATTACTGTAGTTCCAGTGGTTGGCATACTTCCAGACAAGAGAGCATTCAATCCAACTCTAAACACAGCAGAAGTGGAATCTATATTTGATGCCCCTTTAGCCATGTTTCTCAAGGTATTAGTCACTCTCTGAAATTCTTTCTCACTTCAGCTCTGATTTTCTTATGCGATTTCTTTTCATGCCGGGTTTTCAGGATCAAAATCGGAGAGCAGAGGAGAGAGAATGGATGGGTGACAAATACCTGTTGCATTTCTTCGATCATGAAACAGAGAATGGAGTGAATTATGTCATATGGGCTTTAACAGCTGGTATTCTGATTAGAACAGCATCAATTGTGTACCAGCAACCACCTGACTTCCAAGTGAGTGAGCCTAAATTCTGGACTAGAAGTTGCTGATGCAGATCTTAAAAGTCAAATTATACCAAGTTATATCCCAACCAAACTCTCAATGAAGATAGTCTCATGCACTGGGGCTACCTTTTTGTATACCGATGTTCATTTTATGCTTCGTGTAATAACATCACACCAAACCCTAAATTCAAGACTGCGGGAATTTTTATCAATTTTTGGCAGAAGATACCTAATCAAGGAGAAAACTTAACCATATTGTAACTTTATGATGGGAATGGTAGCAAATAAAAGCATATCCATATAATTTGGGGTCCGGTTCATGAAATGTAGCCTTGAAGAAAATTTTCACTCAAATATTCTACCATCAGATAGTAAAAGCAAGAATGAGAAGTACTCAGCTTATCAACAGTTAAACTAAAAAAAATAGGATGCAAAAGATTAGTTATATTTCTGGTCCACACCCGGGCTTTCTAATACTCCTCTCATTGAAGGTGCTTTTGTGAGAATATTATGTTAATTATGGAAATATATCAAATAGGTTGATTGTATATTTTAGATTGATTGTGTGAATATTAGATTGATTGTATAGGGTTATTATTTCCTATTTCAGGTTAGGATTGCTATAAATATTGGTTGTAATCTTTGTATTAGCACAAGCTGAATATACTGGAAGATTTAGAAACTTATATGGTATCAGAGCTAGGGTTTCATTCAAACTCGTTGGTGGAAGCCCTTCCTGTGTTGCGAAGGTCTTCTCTGTGGTTCGTCGAAGTCGCGACATACTTCTGATCACTGGTCTGAAGTCACGACATCTTTGGTCAAGTCGCGACTCTCTGCTTTCTACCTTGCGCAAGCCTGTTCTCTCTCTGGTTTGCACCTAGTTCGTGGCCTCCTTCTCTCATCTTGGCTTCGCGAGTTCTCTCTCTGGTTCGCACCTGGTTCACGATCTCTCTCTCGTCTCGGCTTCAGGTTCTCTCTGGATCTCTATGATTGATATTTGTGTTTGGGTCAAACCACTGTTTCTAGAAACTCTGCTTATTAGTATTTGGAACTAACTAGGTTCTAGATATTATACGTTTGACCTAACTGGTTTTACTATACTTCATTTAGGTCCTTTATAATTAATTTTTTATAATATTGTCACCATGTCAGACGACAAAAGTCAATCTATAACTTGCAAACTTACTGGAGGCAATTATGCTTATTGGTCCACTGTTATGAAAATTTTTTTGCTTGGTCGAAAAAAATGAGGATATGTTTTTGATTCTGTCTCTCGTCCATCAGATCCCAAAACGGATGGATATTAGGTTGCCTATGACACTTAGGATCGTGACAATGCCCAAGTTCTAACTTGGTTTCATAATGTTGTGGATGATCGCATTGGGATGATGTTCTCCAAATATACTACTGCCAAGGAGGTTTGGGTCTATTTACAGGGGGTTTATCAACAGTCCAACTTTGCCAAACGGTATGAGTTGGAAACAGCTCTTTAGAATGCTCATCAACGAGATCGGTCTATTCAGGATTTCTACATTGAGATGACGGGACTTTGGGATCAGCTTGCTCTCATGGAACCATCTAGTCTTAAGGTACTAGATGTCTATCTGCAGTTTCAGGAAAAGGATCATTTGGTGCAATTTTTAATGGCTCTTTCCCCTCAGTATAAGGCTATCCGTGGTGGCATCCTTCACCAGTCACCTCTTCCCTCTATGGATGCTATTGTTTATGAGCTCCTCTCCGAGAAAACCTGTCTTAAGACAGCCAGTCAGACTTTGTCTCCATCTGTCTTCTTGGCTCCTACTTAGCCTCTTCTATTGTCGACCCCTCTACCTCATCAGCTTCAAGGCAATGCAAAGCCCAAGAAGGGGCCACTAGCCTTTGATGAGTGTACTTTTTGCTACTAGAAGGGCCATTGGAAGTACAACTGTCCCAAGAAGGGACGTCAGTCTGCTCAGTTTTCTCAGTCGCCTCAAACACAGTTTCGACCTCCTACTGCTTATACTGCATCTGCTCCGACTTCTGATCCTGACTTGGCTTCCTTGTGTGCCCAAATGGCTCAGCTTCAGCATCTCATGTCCACCTCTCAGCCATCCTCCTCTGTCTCTGCTTTTATCTCTCTTCATTCAGATTTGTTTGGGTCATCTTCAAGTATCTCCTCTTCTGTTTGGCTTTTTGACTCTGGTGCCTCTCATCATATGACTCATCACCTTTCCTTACTTCAAAACTGTATCCCTCATTCCTCTCCTATTACTGTTAATACTACTAATGGGTCTAGTATGCATGATCTATCTGTCGGGTCTGTCTTACCCTCTGCCATGTCTGTTGTTACTATTCCCTCTGTTTTTTATGTTCCTCAGCTATCTGTTAGTTTATTATCTATCAGTCAACTTGATATTTCTGGTTTTGTTGTTACATTTTCCTCTTCTGTCTGTTGTGTGCAGGATCGGGTGTCCAAGAAGCAGATTGGGACCGACCGTAGAGTTAGAAATCTCTATGTGGTAGAAAGCTTGCATCTCCCTCTATCCACCTCTCCTGTTGCTTTTTTCTCATTTTAGTTAGATTCTCAATCGAGTCAGTTTTACTTATGGCATTCTCGCCTAGGTCATTGGTCTGTTGACCACTTACGGTCTTTAGCTTAGTTAGGATTATTGGGTAAAGTTTCTCCTAGCCAAATTGATGAATGTCGGGGATGTAAACTTGTCAAAATGGCAACTTTACCTTTTGATAAAAATACTTCAGTTTCTATTTCTCCATTTTCTCTTGTGTATATTGATGTCTGGGGACCCTCTCATACTCTCACTGAAGGGGGTGCCACATACTATGTGTCTTTTGTTGTTGATTGCACCCGTTATACTTGGGTTTATCTTATGGCTCATAAATCTGACTTCTACCAAATATATCGTACATTTCAGTCTGTTACCCAAAAGACAACCTAAGAGGGGGGGAGAATTAGGTTTTACAAATAAAAGTAATAATACCCTAATAAAAATTATGACTAGCATGGTAGATAAATATAGTTAATGAAATAAAAATAATTAAAACAAGTGTTCTAACAACTATGTCAAGTAATGATTTTAGCACAATAAAAATATGAAATATAGTTATGCCAATTTAGATAAAATAAAGAGATAAGAGAGAGAGAGAGAGAGAGAGAGAGAGAAACAAATTTATAGTGGTTCGACTTCAACTCGGCCTGCGTCCACTCCTCAAGTTTCACTTGAGATTTTCCACTATTCTCTAGCTTCACAGGGTGCTAGTAACCTTTTCACAGATGGAGCAATCCTCCACGGATTTTACACAGACTTTCTAAGTCAAAAAACACTGAGTGTACTACACTCTTACGAGGTTGAAAAGAAGGTGTTTTTGCTCTCACAGAAAGCTACAAGAATTATCTCTCAAAGATAAACATAAAAATGAAACTCTGATTTTTCTGTAACCCTCACACAGGAAAGATGGACTCAATGTATAATTTCTGAGGGAGGATGTAAACAAAAATTGAAGAACACTTCTCAGAGAATTTTTCAGAAAATAGATGAGAGTGATTTTAGATCAAAGAACATTTTCTGGTTTCTGTAAGTTGTTTGTAGTTGCTGTGTCTTGTTTACATCAGAGGCTTTGGTATATATAATAAAACTTATAGCTGTTGTCTTCATTTGAATATCTTCCATTCCATTATTACTAATTTGAACTTATGGGAGACAAGATCATTATTAATTTGAACTTGTGGGAGACAAGATCATTACTAATTTGAACTTTTTAAACTCCTGCTGTGCTGGGCTGTTTAAACCTCTATTTTGGGCTGTTTGAACCTCTGTTTTTGATTTGAAATGAACTCCTGATTTAAGCAAATATTAAATACATTCTAACAACATTTAGGATACTAAATACATTCTAACAACATTTAGGATACTAAATACATTCTAACATTATTTAGGATAAAAGTTTAGTAAGAAATAGTAAAATAAATTTTGATTCTATTTTTCTCTTCCAAATAAATTAAATTAAATAAATCATCAAAATAAATAAGTCTAACAATCTCTCCATTTTTTATGATGACACACAATGATGTTTTGATTTGATTTGGGAGTAAGAAAAACTCCCCCCAAGTCATGCTCACTGAATTCATTTCTAAATACATAGGTTAGCACATGTGTAATAAATAAGCTTTAATCAGAGACATGATATGAGACTTGAGATTAACCAACTATAAAAGAAAAAAAATTATAAATATTAGTTGGTCTATATCAGTTTAAAAAAAACACTACCATGATACCACAATACATAACATCATATTAGTTTGAAAAAAAATACCATAATATATAGCATCATAACATCAGAATAAAATACATAATATATAATATCATTACATCAGAATATAATAGATAATACATAATATCAGAATATAATACATAATATATAACATCATGACATCATAATATAATACATAATACATAATATCAGAATATAATACATAATATATAATATCATTCATTTTCTCCCCCTGTGACATTATCAAAAGGAAATCATGGCTCAGAATTTGGAGGAGGAGGAGGAGGAGGAGGAGGAGGAGGAGGAAGAGAAAAATGATAATGATAAATGGCATTAAAAATAGATAATCAAAACATATATATGCATATATATACGATTCGCGCACCGCTCTCTTTTCCGTCGAAAATTGCGTCGGACATGCGGCCTCGCTTTTGCATCAGCCGACCGATAAAAGCGAAACGGGTCAATCGACTGCCTCGGCTCTCTCTCCCTCTTGTCTTCTTCTCTTCCGTCTTCTTTTTCTTAATCACCCTCTTCTCTTTTCGAGTACATCTCTCTCGGCTACCACATGGCCGCATTCCGTCCCCTCACTCTTTTTCTAGACTTGAATGATCCCTCAAGCGCTGCGGGGCCGAGTGCCCTGGCTCCTACTATTCCCAACCTTCCTATGATGTTGATTGAGCAAATAATAGCAACGCAATTAGATATTGAAACCAATCATTTCACATTGACATCCTGTATGGAGACGGTGACTGCAGTCACAAAATTGGTTCATCGACTGCAGAACAGAACGAGTGTGCTCCACCAGGTCAACTCTCTCTGCTCCAACGCATGTACAAGGATACGCGAGCAGAGATTTGCGCACTGAAGGCCGAAAATAAAGAGCTTAAACGGAAGACCACCTCCATGGCGCGATTTGGAGCAACGTCGTACTTGGCCTTTGATAGTCAGCGGGGAGTCGTCGCTCTCAGTGAAAACACGGAGGCAGAGTCTTCAAGGGTCGCCCAAGGCGATAAAAAAAAGAAGAGATCGGCGGAAGATGTGAGTAAGTGAGGT